ACAGTTGTAAAATGAAACGATTGATCAAAGAGATAAAATTAATTCCCTCCAAAAACTCTTATCCAACGAGAAAATATTGCACTGATTATATATGTGCAAATGCAATGCACGAGTCTAACAGTTGCAGTAACTATATAGACATGACTAACACGTCGCGCGCGGCATCAGAAATATGGGAGGAAATCTGGCACCACGATTTGTGGTGCCAGTTTGTGGCCATCTATAGAGCCCTCTTTTGCCGCCTACGGCGGTCGCGCGCTACTGCAAGCGAGAGGGCTCTGGTTAGAGCAATGTCCATAGTGATAGATACGTGAAGCGACGCGTATCCATAGATACGTGTAGTGACGCGCGGCGTAAGAATTTATTTTGACCATATAAATGTTCATAACTTTTTATGAGAACCTGTGCTGAGTTTTTTGAGAAGGGCGACATTCGATTGAGCATTTTTGCTATCCAATGGTATAAAATGTAGCACCAGCGCAATTATCGCTCAATAATCTTATTTCTACGCGCAGCTCTCAGCGGGTGAGAGGTGTTCTAGAAAATTCGTTGGAATGTCGCCTTAATGTCGCCCCGGTTTATTCTCAGAATTGCAAAATTAGATTTTTACTAACATCAAATTATTTTACTATTGTTCAAGCCAGCAAACGAAATCCAAAATTATTTATTGATTTTGAATAAAACGGCCGAAAAGAAGTAGTTGATACTTTGGAAATTGGGTGGATAAAACTGCATATAATACTAATAGCCATTTAGTTTTATAATAATTATTATTCATCCTTCTTAATCTTATGTCAACAATGGTGCTTCCCTTGTCGCTATAAGTATAATATTCTCCGAAATATTGCTGGTGTGGCTTTCAGTGCTCCTTCATGAATTGAACTGATATTAGGTTAATTTACTTTGCAGTTTACCGAAAAAGAATTTTCGGCCTTGGATTTTGGATTAAACGGGTTAAACGATTCAAAAGCAATTTACAATGGTAATGTCTGACCCAATATAAATAAATTTACCCAAAGGTCACAATAGTAACTTTGATATACAAGAGAATGAAAATAAAATTGAAACCACTATATAACTCTATGATAAACAAAGAAATAATCCCCGCAAATCTTCAGAATGAGAATGAGATTTAAATATTCTTTTTAAAATTAAATGAACTCTTCTAAAAGTGTTCCGAGTCTTACATTAGGCAATATTTTTATTGTTAGGAATTTGTATAGAGGATGCATTATAAAGCCTCTAAATAGTTAACGGGTGATACTCGTATTATAATATATGTTCCATATATTACCGTCGACGAGTCCAACTCGGCGCACGTCCTGGTAGGTTGTAAACATACAACTATAAAATAGGAAATCTTTCTTTGTTCACGAGCTTTGGCAAGTAACCTTCCTATGTCTCCGATGGTTGTATATAAGCTGTGCGAAAATCTGTCCAATATCAGAGAAGAGTAATGTTTTACTTTTACTTTGTGGGGACAAACAGTGACGGAAATCTTCATAGAGAAGGCAAGGGCGCAATACATGAAGCTCATCTTCGATGATTGGATCAGGGAAAGGAAGCTCTAGAAAAAGGTCGAGTGACTCCTCATCTGTAGTAGAACAGTGTTTGCATACCCTATTCGAAAGTTTATGGCGATTCACATGCCGTGTCTTCCTGTTTCGATGTTGTATTGATGCGAGCTTGTTCTGAGTTGCGCAAGTCTCCTATAATATAGTCCTAGTCCTACTGCTGTGGCTGTAAGTTGGTCGACAGGTATGTTTCGCAACCGAAGCTTGCCTTGATGAGGTTGTAGATTGTAGAATCCCAATTTTCTGTTAAGTTTTCGCTCTTTGTTCCATTGTTGATCAAAAAGGGTTTTCGTAGCCTCGCTGATTTTCAGAGGGATTGAAAGATTGCTTCCTCCTGATAGTTGATTCACTGTGTTCCTGGTGGATTTCTGCCTGGAGAACCATAATAGTTTCAGATCCCTTTGTTCGGCATAAGTGTGCCTCGCTAAGGAAGAGCATCCCTCTTTGTCCAATCCCTCCAACCTCCCGACTCCCGAGGTAGCTATAGACTTGGGGCGAAAGCTCGATAGTAAGCGGATATCTTCCACTTCCAGTTTCACCCTAAACAGCTGTGTTCGAAGTCGATTTGTTGACATTGAATTTCATGAATGATAGATGAACTTTCTCCAGGGGTTCTTTTGCTGTGTCCTGTATAGCCGGATGACTCCCTGATGCAAAGATAAACATAAAGTTTGTCATGGGAAGCCATATCTGTCACCCATAGGAAAGAACAAGAACAATCAGGGTGTCGTAAAGCTTAAATATAGTTGTCTTCCGGAGGTACCGAAGGTCAAGCATACCATGAGAGAGAAGTAGCTCCGGAGTCCTTTTTATCTAAGTTTTATCTTAGCAAGTTCAAAGTTTTAATGATACCGTGAGTGTGAACGTAATTCCAAGATTTGTGTACTCACGAACTGATGGCAAGGTCATTTCTCCGTAGGTTGAACACCATAATTGCTGTTTTTGATACTTTGATAGGTTAACCGATAATCCCCACTCTTGACAGTAGGTGTGTAAAACTTCTACCATTCTTTGAAGAGTCTTTTGATCGAGAGCCAACAGAATTATAGGTTATCAGCCCAGAGGAGGTGGGTTACTCTAGTACTTTTCAGTAACGGTACTTCGACATTTTCTATAAAATTAAGGTCGATTCTGAAAGGTGGTGTATGAAGCATTTGAAGAGCTACAGAGACATGGTCATGGGGTGTCCTTGTTCAGTCCCGCAAAGAACATCGATATTTTCAGAGAGCTTGTTCAAGTGCTTGATTTTTGCTTTGGAGTTTGTGTACATGAACTACATGCAAACAAAGAATCTTCCTTTGATGCCTAGTTTCCACATATTTTTCTATGTAAGTTGACAATGTCTATATTGAATATATGATCTGCTGTTTGCGAGTTTTTGCAAAACCCTAGTTGATTGGGGGTGTCAGGGTTTGTCTCACTTTCAGCACGGAATTTCATTAGCCTCTGGAAACAGTTTTCCGCGTACTGCTAGCTACTGCGATTGCCATATACAGTATATAGTATATGTAGCTAGTTTTTGGGATAGTAGATGTTGCCTTTTTTGTGCAAAGGCGTCACAACGGATGCTCCCCAGGGGGTAAACTCTGTGTGATAAACATTGGTTGAAGAAATGCAGTATAGCGCACTGCATATTTTTCCAGAGAGTTTAAGAAATTCGTTTGGGATTAAGTCTTCTGACACTGCCTTCCCTTTCTTGAGCGCTCGAGTACAAGCCAACAGTTCTTCGCAGCTGATGTCTTGGTCAAGGATTTTTGTGAGTGTTTGCTGGGTCAGGGTGGCATCTCTGGCCATTTCGTCTTGAACTTGAACCTGTTTTATTTTCTTAGGGCCGATGCAGATTGCAGATACAGCTCTTTGAAGAATTTGCTGAAGTTAAGCATATCAAAGACGTCCAGTTTGCTTCCATTATATTATTAATCCATTTGTGATTGTCTTCATTTCTTGAAGCCTCTTGAAACGGGCCCAATTTATATTCCTGCCTCGTTCGATGTCACTGGATAAATATGTCAAATCAAAGTGGTTAATTAAAAGTAAAAGTTGTCGCATGAAAGGAAAAAGGTGAAAGAAATCAATGCTTCAAAATAAAGTTTATCGGAGTGCACATTATTTTTATATCCCAACATATTTGGTATTCGTGAAATAATTTCGATAACTCACGCTGACTCTTGCAGCTACCAGACTGAAACATTTTACGTTAGAATCTAACGTACCTCTGAACTCAGAATCAAAGCTCTAGCAGTAGCTCCGATCCCTCGTAGTTATCAGGAGATTCAGGACATAAAATTAAATTAGCTAAAAAACTAAAATTAAATTAGCTAATAAACTGAAATGTGGTTTCAAACTTGTGGAGATTCTCCCTTTAACAGTTACATGCAGCCTGCGTGCAGGTATAATTAAGTTTAACTGTTCAACACTTTCGGAATGTTATTGGTCATGCTATCAGAAATAAATACTCATGACTATTGATTATACAAATTATTCGGAATGCAGAACAAAAACTTTAGTGCAAGAGCTTTCGAGATTTACGTGTAAGCTTGTACTTGTACTTGTAGTATAAACTCGCGATGGGGCTCATGGATGCGGAGGATGACGTCCTAAGCTAAAAGTAAGGAACACTGAACAGATCATTTCCAGCATATTGGTGCCTCCCCCGTCGATGGTCGAGGAAGGAGGCCACTAAATAACATGTTTAAATACTGCAGCTATATAGAGATGCCGGCGTGCAGTTACCTATTACACGATCTCCATTTTCATTCTGCCACGGGCGATCGAGAAGTTTGGAGGAAGATAATGAACGAGATTTCGATCGAGGATCACCCAATTCTTCTTCTATTTTATTCATTCTTCCAATTTTCCGTCCCAATCGAGCCGAGCTAATATCATGTCACCTCATGCATGATGCAATACCCAAACATCCCTGTGCACTAATTTGTGGGCACAAAAATTAGAAATTGTAGGCTAAATCATCGGTCTGTTATCACTTTTCACTGATCGCTTCTTTTCACTAAAGGTCCTTGCTAAATTGATATCATTTATCTAGCATGGAGATCTTTGATTGAATAAGAAAAGTTATTTTTGTCATGGTGAGAATTTCAAAAACTCATTATAAATTCAATGGTTTCTCAATTATTACCCCACTAAAATCTAATTGAAAGAGCAGGTGTTACATCAAAACTCCAAAGTTTTGGGTTTTCAGGACAATGTTGGACGCTGGTCCTTGCTAAATTGATATCATTATCATTCATCCAGCATGGAGATCTTTGATCAAATTAGAAAAGTTATCTTTGTCATGGTGGGAATTGCGAAACCTCATTATAAATTCGATGGTTTCTCAATTATTACCGGTACCCCACTAAACTCTAAGTCTAATTGAAAGAGCAGGTATTACATCAAAACTCCAAAGTTTTGGTTTTTTCACAACAATGTTGGACGTTGGTTTACTGGGCGAGGCTCAGCCTGTCAATCCCAATTCCGCCTAATCTCTATTATGAACATAAATATGATAGCCTGGGGTCCCCAGGTAAGACGTTGGTGTGAGATCATTAAATCAGTGACTATTTATTGCAGGCGGGGATTTGAAACCGTTTCAATTTCATTTTTCAGCTCTTTAAAAGTTCAAAAGTTTCATTTTTTTTAATTTTTGAAGATTGCTAATATCTTAGAGATAAGTGTGATGTATCCCAAGCCAGTTTGCTGTAGTAAATCTTTGTAGTCATATTTGCATTTCCTTGTTACTTTATCATTATGTTGTAAATGTTGAAATTTCTCCTATTATTGTTGGTATTCTGCTATTATTGATGGTATAATATACCATCTTTTCGATCTACATTTTCTACACTATCTAAATTTATACTACTTGATCCACAACACTTATAAGGGGTCGTTCACATATTACGTAATCAGCTTAGGGGGGGGGGGGGGGGTTCTGAATGATGAATTAGTATTACGCTAGTGTAATATTGACAAAATTGTAGCTATGTGTAAGACTGATTACTGAGGGGGCCGGGGTAAAAATGTTCCAAAAAATGATTACGTAATACTAATATGTGAACGACCCCTAAGCATTATACTGTTAGTGTTTCAGTTTCACTGTACTCAAATTCTGCTCCGTCATTCCAATTTCTAATATCTAACGAGTAACGACACAAAATATAGTTGACCCTGGTAAGATTTAAAATGACAAGTTCAATCTGTGTGGTCCTCTGTTTAGCCCTGGCAACAGTGGAGATAACTGCAGCTGTGGTTACCTTACCTTTGATACCTTTGATCTGCTTCGTCGAAACTCGACAGGCCATCAGAGTTGCTGACCACCCCAGAGAGCAGATGCCTCTCGATCGTTACGCCAGTCCAGTATAGAATTGGAGTTCGGTGATGTGAAGCCCCGGATTGGCGGTTTATCCGGCAAGGAAAGCATGAATGCCGTCATATGATGCTTGAAGCCATCATGTTTGGAGACTGCACGTATGTGCGAAGGTATACAGTTCCAGAGTCTGGGACCCATTACACCAAATGATGTTTCATAAAGAGTCTGGTGAGCAGCTGAGCTTTTTGTACGGACAGCTGGAACCTTAGCAAGGGTACCCAATCGTGGATTTACTGTGAACTGTACTTCAAGGTCGTTGGATGTGAAACCATGTAGGATTTTCCACATGTGCATGACAATGTAACGTTCTCTGCGCCTCTGAAGTGACATGAGGGACAGGGTTTTTATGCGATCCCAATAATGGAGATGCTGTAAACCATGGATCTTTGAAGTGAAAGTTTTTTGTACACTGTCAAGCTCCTGAATGTCATACACTTTGGCCGGATTCCACAGAGGAGAGCAATACTCTAAGTGGCTACGGACTAGTGACTTGTATAGTGTTAACATAACACCAGTATTGCGAGAGTGGAAGACACTGAATACCCATGCTGCCATCTTCCTCGCTTTATCACAACTAGATCGTATGTGTGATGTCCAGGACGTATCACTGGATACTGTTATACCGAGATCACGGAGCTGATCCACAGGAGTGAGTATAGTACCAGTTGATGTTCTGTATTGGAACTGTTCATGGACAAAAGGAAGCTCATAGAGAGGATTACGTTTGTTGGCAAGATGACATATGTACTCAAACTTATCCTCATGTAGTGCCATGTTGTTTCTTGATGACCACTCAGTGACTTTGTCAAGATCAGACTGAAGCTCAGTAACATTATGTGAATCACTGATGGATCTGCAAATTCTTGTGTCGTCAGCGAAATATCTTATTGTTGAACGCCACACGCATCTAGCAATGTCATTAATGAATATTAAAAACAGTATGGGACCTAAAACTGTTCCTTGGGGGACACCACTCATAATAAGAGCAATGATAGACATGTGACCATCTACAACAACTTGTTGAGTTCTATTCGTAAGAAATGACTCGATCCAGATGATGATTTTGGGATGAAAACCATATAGCTGCAGTTTTTTGATAAGAAGTTGATGATCTACTTTATCAAAAGCCTTGGCATAATCCAAGTATATAGCGTCCATGTCGTCACCATTTGATAACGCCTCGATGATGTCATCAAAATGATGAAGCAGCTGAGTGAGACAACTTTTCCCCGATCGGAAGCCATGCTGCTTGCTATTGAGAAGGTTGTTTTCTTCGAGGTGGGCCACCATCTGTTTTCGTAGAACTCGCTCATAGATCTTAATGACATGAGAAGTTAACGACACAGGTCTGTAGTTTCCCGCAATAGCACGACTGCCTTTCTTGTGAAGTGGACCAATGTTTGATGTCTTGTAGAACTTCGGCACTGTGCCTGTAGACATAGAATGCTGCCAAATCATGTGTAGAACAGTTCTGTTATTGGATCGGTCCTTAGATGGATCATAGGCCGTGAGAACAGACTTCGTAAGTGCATCTGCTTTTGGATTCGCCATGAGACCACCAATGACCAACCGAACCTTTTCATCAAAGTTTTCAATCATAATTGTACATGTACAATGTATAGTATCCGAAAGCTGCCCAGTATACACTACACACACTGTGATGAGTTGTACGTCTTATCTCAAATGAAATTTGCTGATAAGGGAGTAACAAAAACGCAACAAATGCAAAATCAATTTTACTAGAGGTTAGTGTTGAAGTTTTACAAGTTCGTAAATTAGCCACAAAAAATATCTATTTGAAGAGTCATTTTATTGATGTTCCACGGTTACACAATTCAGTAAATTCACCCACAACTTATTTTGATGTCAATAAACATTAATTAATATCGAACACTTATATATATATTGGGCTCACATTCAGCCTGTCATTCCGCCGCATCTTCAACATTCAATTATTAAACAGAAAAGCCTGAGGTCCCCATAATTATAAAGACTCGATCAATAGTCAAGACCCAATGGCAATACCAAGACTAGACCAATTTTTGCAGGAACTAGAAGGAAAACGGCAACGGCCTGACACTGAGGCAGCTGAGGACTTAAAAGATCTCCTCTACTCCTCAATGCATAACATTGTCTCTCTGAATGACCTCGTGACAGAACTTTCTGAAAAGATTGCTAAACTCACCATATCGTAAGACTCAGATCCTATTTCAGTCGAATCTATTCTATTAAAATTTTGGTTTGGAAATTAGAAGTGACAGTTGTAACGACAACTAGATTTTACAGTTATACACAGCTTCCGGTCTTGTATTTGCTATGAAGCTAGCTAGAAGAACCCTTTACTCCTTTATAATACTGAATAGTTCGTCACTCACAAATGTACAGGTCCGCAGAAAACACGGCTGAAATGAAGCTATCAAAAGCAGAGACGACTCTATCAAGGGCAGCACGATCTAAAGAGATAAAGGAATTGAAGACGTGAGAGATTATGATCATTATTTAGCTTTAGTCTTTTAATTATATTTTAAAGTTTTAAGTATTTCCATTTTAATTTCTTCTCACAATAAAATTCAAAGCAGAATATTCTTAGTCTCACTTGTCCCAATAATGTAATATTTTATCATATACTTTTTCTGAGTTTGCCCATTTTAAATTAAACTTCTTCTCGCAGTATACTTTTTACAGTGCACTTTTCAGCGACGCGGCTAGAGTCAGCGAGGTTGAGAGCCTTAAAGAACAGATCGGAACTCTTAATAAAGCTTTCTTTCTAGTCCTCGAAAACAAGGAAGTCGCACTCGCTGGCATGACAGCCCAAATGGAGGCTATGAAGGAAGAACAAGTTGAACTGGATAGAGACCATGCCTGGCAGTCTCTCCACATGGCAGCAGCTGCAGCTTGCAGAGGAAGCACCCCTACTGGAGGTTCTGGACCAAATGGAAACGCTGTCCTGGCAAAGGAGAACACGAGAAGCTGTGATCAAGTCTGTGGAGATACCGCGTTCAACCTGTGTGACGCTGACATCTCAATCAGCGGCTACAAAGGACAAGCAACTTCTTACTCCCAACGACTCGGACACTACTACAACTACGGTTGTGGATCTCCTGGGAACAGGAGCGGGAGGTTTGATGAAGTGAAGGCTGGAGGGGATGGTGTTTTCAGCGACCATAGTACAGGAAACTGGTACTACCGATTTTGCTGCTGCAGGAGGGCTTGATGACTTCGACATGTTCCAAACAACAGATCAGGAGAAATAACTGGACGGTGAATTTGATTTGTAATTTTTTGTTATTTTCAAAAACTTTAAAATGTTAAATATCGATGAAAAAATGTTGAATAGCTTGCATACCAATTACCAACATTGCTACTCTATGAGTGTATCTTATTGTTTCACGGAAAGAAGTGTTCTCCGAAGTTCACATATTACGTCATCACTGCAACTGACATGTGGGCCGGGCGGGAGGGGGTTTCTATAATACTACTTCGTTACTAAATTGTTATAATATAACTAGAAATTAAACAGAATTGAATACCGGCCATCGTCAGATCTAAAAAGCTTCAGATAGACAACGCGTGCACAGTCTTAAACATACTCGCGCGTTCCCTTAAGTTGTAAGATTTTATGTTGTTTATTTTATTATCTCTCAAATGAAGAACGCCGCCCAGAAGAATGAACTTCGATGACATCAAAAACGGAACAATTTTAAGCTATTCCTTGTTTAGAATCATATGACAGGGTTAAATTGATGGTGATGGTTGGATTTAAATTGGAGAAGTTAGCTGCTTTTCATCAATCTAAACAAAAATTACCAAGGAAAATCTCGAATATTTCTCTTGTAAACTTTGTAACTTGATCTACAGACAAGATCATTGAGGACAGGTGACACGAAGGAGTAAAAAGTGAGAGATTGATATTTAGTCTCAATAAAACAGGTCGTGTAACTGGCCTACGTTCGATGTAAACTTATAATTTGCCTCGGTAAAATTAACAACATGTGTCTTAGTCGCAGAGTATTACTTGTGTCTTGTATAAACTAGATATTTGAGCCCGCTGTGCCTCTTTAGGCTATAACAGAAGTGAAGTTTAATATTTGTTCCCAAAAATTGGGCCAGCTTTAATTTTGATTCATTATTTGGAAACATTTTCATAAACAAATAAATTTCTAAATTTCAATTCCCGTGCAACCTAGTAACCTGTAGTCAGTAAATGTAATTAGGATTATTCCAGTTAATTTAAGTGATGTCACCTGCCTGGAACATTCCCCCAATACACATTAGACTCAGCGCTGAGAATGTTCGAGAATAAATTTGAGCTTCAATCTGTCAGACGACATGTGCAGAAGGGGAGCACATTAAACCAATATTATACTAACAATTATAGGCACATAAAGACTTGAGTATTATTTTTTTCGACGAACATGTAACCGCTGCACTGGTGTTTATTAATATATAATATAACTTGTTGTGTGTATTAAAGTAGACCGTGTTTATATTATCTCGTAATATAGCTTAATGCGAGACATACCAATTTGTAACTTAACTCAAACAAATGTAGACTTCTCTCTATGTGATGTTAGCTTTTCTATTTTTTTAAAGTAAGGTAAATTAAGTGACAAGCTTCACAACAGGTCATATTAAGTCCGCTACTTTCACTGGTAAGGATAAAAAACCAATATTGTTTTTGGAGACAAGTTAGTAGGCACCTGATTTTAAACGTGACCAAATTCTGGGGATTTTAACTTTTTAACTTGATCAAACGTCTCCATTGTTCACTAGGTGAACAAAAGTTACTTGCTTTGTGGGAGAAATTTCGTCGGAGCTTAAATACGATTACTATTAATTTCTATGTGAGTTTCCATTGTCAGCAATTACAATCACCCAATCCGTCAATCCATGCTAAATGATCAGCCAGAAGTGAAAGCCAAAGTAATTCTATTGAGCTATTGTAGTTGGTTTATCATACTAACGTTATTCCAATGAGCAGATAAAGGGGGTAGATTTCTTTATTCTTTTTAATTCTAAACAGCAGCATACACATGGTTAAAAGATTGATGTGTAGTTGATGTTAAATACAAAGCAGCTAGGGCGCCTATTTTGTTAAACCGTACAGAAATTGAACCTGAAATGGGAACAATATAGGGTGGAATTATGTTGAAGTTAAACTGTCGGGAGATTTTTGCAGTACATTAAGGTGGAAATATCTAAGGGGCCGTCCATAAATTACTTCGGTTAATTAGGTAACATTTTTGAACCCCCTCTGCCAGGCCATAGTCAGTAGTCACCTTAAAATTGAAATCCTTCCGCCCCCACCCCTTTTTTCCCCGATTCCGACGATTGTACTTATTGTACTTTTCGAGAGAGAGTCAGATTAGCGAGATGTTAAATCAGTCGCCAGAATACTAAGTCATATTTCACTTTCAGATTACAGATGTTAGATGTCGTGTTGAGCCAAACCACCACCCCCATCGTCGTCAAAAGTCGTAAAATCAGGAACCCCTCCCCTTGTTTGACAAAGTAAATAACGGATGGCCCCTAATTGATATCTATCCAATTTTGTGCCCAGTTTTAAAATTAAAAAATTAATAAATAAATTTGAATTATGGACCCCTCGGCTCCCCCATTCTATCACGTGTACGTGGAGTTATTTATAAATTCTTTATTTCCACAGATGAAGGAAATTGTTTCTCAAGAACACACCGGCAGTCGGCACTACACCATGGCTCCCATCATCAACAAATCACAGCTGAATAAAGAGATGTCATGCTGTTACAACTTTTCAAATAATGAGATCAAATGAAAATGAGTAACATGATGACGTAGCATTCTTAAGAACATTTCATTGTCAAAACAAAAGCCAAAACGTTTTGAAAATGATGATTTATTATTGAACATTTTGCTCAGTAGGTGAAATGGGTGCGGTGCTGCGTACATAACTGTAATGTATACAAATCACCACTGTGTACAGAACTGTAATGTATACAGATCACCACTGTGTACAGAACTGTAATGTATACAGATCACCACTGTGTACAGAACTGTAATGTATACAGATCACCACTGTGTACAGAACTGTAATGTATACAGATCACCACTGTGTACAGAACTGTAATGTATACAGATCACCACTGTGTACAGAACTGTAATGTATACAGATCACCACTGTGTACAGAACTGTAATGTATACAGATCACCACTGTGTACAGAACTGTAATGTATACAGATCACCACTGTGTACAGAACTGTAATGTATACAGATCACCACTGTGTACAGAACTGTAATGTATACAGATCACCACTGTGTACAGAACTGTAATGTAATAATGCCATAATTCGGAGATTGTATTTAAACAATATTATAATCCTAAAATAGTTAGCCAGTTCTAGTCCTAGATCATACCTAATCTGAATTTCAAGCGTGATCTAACCCTTAACTGCTTAAATAAACTTCCTATCCAGTCAGTCATACGTACCACGTACTACGTAGTCATGCTTATTTCTTATGGTAGGTCCTAACTCACAATGATAGTAAAACTGTAAACTTTACAAGAACTATAAAAGTATGCTTCACTGAGTACATGGCACTGTGAAAGACAATAGTACCGTGCACCTATACTAAACATGTACAGCCGTACTACATTCATACAAACAATGAGATAAAGCGCGTACATTGACTGTACTGCACTGGTCTGGTCTACAAAGGGGACCTTTAGATGTGAAATAAAGTATAAAGTAGGTGCCTTTAGGGAATGTAAAGTTAATTAGTAGATGTGCGGAGATGTGTTATCAAATGGTTATTTATAGCAACTCAATCTTACTCAATGCTGTACGAGCAAGGTTGTAGTAGGTGTGATTTTAGTTGTATTTCACGTAATGGCGCGGTCCACAGGTTAAAACACAATAAACTACATAGCAGTATTATACAAATATGCGGAAGAGGAATGTGTGACGTGAGTGGAGAAGTGTGCAATTACTGAGTTATTCGGCAAATTACTTACTTCAACCTAAAATACGGTATATCGTGGTTTGAGATAAATCAGGGCGCAGTAAATTGGGGTTTTAATGTACATAATGTTTGCTGCAATGTTACTGTTAGCTGCAATCTTATGTTAGCTGTAATGTTAGCTGTAATGTTAACCTGTACTATTAGCTCTAATGCAAGCTGTGATGTTAGGTGTAATTAGGAACCGACCGGAATGGGCTTTTGGCTGCCCATGCCGGACCGGATTTTGCCGGATATCGATCTATTATACGGTTAGCCGGATTTTGCCGGACCGGAACCGGTTATTAGGAAGAGCAAATATAAGGCTGCTACACTAGAATGCTAAGGATGGCACTAAATGTGGACTGGAAGCAGCGCAAAACCAACAAAGAAGTCTATGGCAACCTGCTGAGAGCAACCATGAAGATCCAAGAGTGCAGAATGCGACTAGCTGGCCATATCCACCGGCACCCAGAATTAGTCGCAAACCGCTTGCTACTTTGGGAACCAACTCATGGGTTGCGGAGTAGGGGAAGACCAGCCATGACTTATGTTGATAGCCTACGAGCTGACACGGGTCTCAACGACACTGGAGAAATGGACCGACTTATGGCGGATAGAGTTCTATGGAGACAGCGCAATGCGCATCAATACTCGGTTGCTGAAGCCGCCTTATTTCAAGTAAGTCAAGTCAAATTAAGGTTTTTTAAAAACATATGTCTCAGACCACAGCTAGATCTGTGAATTTTAGGCAGACCCACTCGTAGTCGACAGCAAATGGTGGGTCTGCACTTTAGAGTTTAGAAGAGTGGGTCTGGCAACCAGAATGGTGGGTCTTCGCCCTAGAAGAATGGGTCTGGCAACCAGAATGGTGGGTTTGCATTCTAGAATAGTGGGTCTTCAAAAATCCCACCATTCTGGTCTTCAGAAATACACGAGAAAAAATGTGGAAATTAAAATAATCTTTACCAGGGTTATAAAAATTCTCATAAGACTTGAGGTTTGCAGTTAAATTAGTACACTTTCAATTACGTCACGTAAGACGATTTATCTTTAATGATGAAAGATCACCATGAAAGAAGCCCAAAATGCTGGCAGACAGCCAGCATGTGTGGGAACTAAAACTTAAAGTGCTAGCCAATTATAGACAGCAGGAACTTCAGTAAGCAATACTCCCGAATCATTCAAATAACAAATTCCTACCTGGATCATCATGCCAACCGCAGCTCAGTTCACATCAAGAAACAAACCTAAAAATATCAAAAAAACGACCGCAAAAATCCAAATTCTGCGTTACACTTACAGTAGGACGAAAAATTGATGACGAAAAAAACCATTAATATAGCATATTTCAATTCAATTATAAAATGTACTATCTACTGAACGTATAA